AGAGGGAACACAAGCAGGGGGAGTGGGAGAGGGAGTAACAGGCCTCCCGCCGAGCAGGGAGCCCGATGCGGGACTCGATCCCAGGACCCTGGGATCATGACCTGAGCCGAAGGCAGGCGCTTAATGACTGAGCCACTCAGGCGCCTCTCTCTATAATTCTTTTTAAGATTTATTTTTAAACAAGGGTTAGTAAGATGTTTCAGAGATCTTAATGCCAACAAATGTGGTTTTCCCAAGAGAAGGCAGGTAGACAACTGAATTTGGACAAAGTCTCAAAAATACCTCCTAGGAAGCCATGGGCATATATGACAGTGATTGGGGGCAGGATACTATTAAATTTAGATCTTCACCATCTATCATCTTAATGGGTTGTTGTGGGGTTTTTTTTGCCCACTTTTTTCTTTTCACTTCTAATGGTTTCATCTCAATCTACACCCTTTCAGAGTTTGATGGTATCCTGAAATCCTCGAAACATGTCAACTACAGAGTAATAAATCGGTGTTAAACTGAAATCACTTACTTAGACATGTTCTGGGCCTTCTCAATAAATTTCATCACCTAAAAGAAAAAGATGCCAATTACAACAGGATCCATTTTCAACACAGAAATCACCCTTGCCAGGGTGGCCTGCCTTACAGGCACTATCAACTATTCAATCTCTGTGTTCTCAATTTAGGACACCAACTAATAAACTCAATGAACCAAAGAAACAGAGCCACACCAGCAGCACTGCAACACGCCGGAGTATCCTGCAAGGTCCTAAGAAGCTAAAGACGATCTGTCACTGTCGGGACATATCTCTTGGTGCTTCAGTAAAATGTTAACAGCCTGTCTCACGGAGTGATATCAGGGTAAAGAAATCAGTGATTACAAAACACTCTTATGGACATAGGTGATAGAGAGAAACTTAAACAGTGACAATTATCTGTCACACGTAAAAAGCCCCATTATCTTTCCATTCCATGCCTGCTAGTCCATCCCACTCCCCAACCCTCCATTCCATCCTCAAGGTGACACTACAAGCCAAGATCAAGAAAAGAACCTGGATTTTTGTTTTATTGGCTGTCACAATGTTAAATGTGAAGTGTCTCACAACATTGATCATCCTGTCATAACCTCCTCTGTCTCCCAAAATGCTTACTTATTTTCTATGTATATCCAGGTTTATTGCTCTTTCTCAACGTGAACAAGCTAAGGCATTTAAAAGTCACAGGTTTTTACACAGCCATGCCTATAAAAGTAAAGACAGACATACCTGATCAAATCTGGTAGCAAAGAGATTGAGTGACGTCACTATACCACCATTGGGCCCAAGTCCATACCTGGACACTAAGTTGAGGATTTAAATTACTTACAGATCAACTTAGATGATGAAATTCACACTTAGGATATCATTCACACAAACAGCATTATAACATTAGTGTTCCATGAATGGATACTGGCAGCTAATCCCTGACATACCACACAACCTTAACCTCACAAGGAATTTTCATTATCCTCGTTCCTTTATCATTTTGGGGATGCCGAGGCAAAATGAAGAAATTAAAGTGACCAAAATGTAACAGACAGATGCATCTGGCAGTGACAGCTTAATAGCATTAGCCATTAAGATCATCTGAAAATATCATTAAGATATCACACTCCTTGCTCTGATCCTCACTGGTCAATCAACCTGCTGATTAGAATTAGTCTATCCACCTAGACCCACCTATACGGAAAGTACACATTTCATGCAGCAATGTACTAAGAGTTGATCCTACTTCTGAGTTTCCCAGTGTCAGAGGAGGTGGTAGCCTCCAAGGTGACGCTACTTTATGGGACCAGGCACAGCACCAGCTAGCCTCTCACTCTCTATGCTCTCCAATTATAATAGCCTGTAGTCTGGGAAGATGGTAAGAAAACTGAAACCACAAGCTGAAACAGTATTTCTAATCACCTATAATACCTCTTCTCACATTCATCTTTCCATCCTCCTAATTAAATTACTTTAAAGCAATTAAATGCTTTTGCTAGTATATTTCACAAAGAAATGCAAAAATACTCTCAAAGCCACAAAAAACAGATAGTAACTAGTCAGGGATGAGTCAGCAGCGAAGCAGATGCGAAAAAGGATACTGTTTCATGACTTCTTTATACTTCACAGTGTCACGAATATCTGGGGGGAGGCGGGAGGAAGAATTCATTGGAATTTAACAGACAGAAACAATATAGTTGAGACCCTCCACCTATAATATCCTCAGACAACGGGCCTCTCAAGTCATCCCTGCTTCCCCTGAGGAAAAAAAAATAAGTTTCTCTTTTGGTATCTCACTTACTTTTCAAATCTGTTTTCTAAATTTTTAAGCTAAGGTCACTGAACTGTGATAGGGGAATAAAAAAACAAGATCGTGAAGAGAAGAACAGGCAGAAGATGCCCTGCAAGTACCTTCTCACCCAGCAAGAAGCTGAAACCAACCATTCAGACTTCTCTTGTCTGCATTCTCTTCTACTAATTCCCCCAGTTTCACACTGGTTTCCTTCCTTACAAAAGATAACGGGGAAGTAACCCATAAAAAATGTTAGCTAGGAACTCAGAAGTTATGGTAGAAATGGTCTGAGACAAGGAGAAAAGTTTTTTTTTTTTTTTAAGTAATGTGGCCAA